TTGAAATGATAGGTTGATGTTAAGCATTCTTAGCTGGTTCAAATCAGCAAAATGAAAGAGGAAAAGGAATATGATGAAATAAACATAAAAATAACAACAATAACATTTTAAAAAAAGATCCAGGAAAATGTTCCGTGATTAAATAGTTCATTGCTTCATTCAACAATGTTTATTTTATATTTTTCTTTATTTTTCATCTTTTTTCTTTTTTGTTGTATTTGATTTATCATTATCATCATTATCATCTGTATCTTTTTTTGGTGGTTGTTGTTGTTGTTGTTGTACTTGTTCAAGAGCTGCTCGCACAGCTTCACTGTCAACATCAACACCAGGTAAATCACGAAGGACATCACGTAAAAATTGTGGATCATTGAGAGAAGCCGCAAATGTGTCAGTATTTTGTTGTGTTTCTTCATTAGACTATTGTCAAAATTTTTTTTCATAAATAAATAAAAGAAAAATCTATGTAAATTTACTTTTGTTGATTGTTGAGTGTTTGATGGTATATCGGTAGAAGCAGAAGTTTCTTCTTTCATTTCAACATCATTCGTTTCTTAGAATAAAAAATTTTTTTTCTTAAATAAAAACAAATAAACATAACATACGAGCACTTTCAGCTTGTGACATAGACATTTGAATAGCCAAAGCAACTTGTTCATCTTCTGTAAGTCGTGTTACATCCATTTCATTAGTACCTGTTCAAATATTAACATCAATGACTCGTTTATGTATTACATCATGATAAAAAATAAAAAGAAAAGAATTAATCCTACTTGAACTTCCTGTATTTGTTGGTGGATTTTGTTGAGCTCCTTCTCCACCTGTACTACGACCTATTTCAGCTTCTTGAACACGTCGTTGTTCTTCCATGGAAATACGAAGAGCCTAAAGAAATGATCAAATTTTGTATTAGGAGTACAATCTTAACCGTTTGATTGTAGGTTTTTTGTAAAGAGGACAGAAGATAAAGAATGTGGATTTGCGCATAGAAACTAGGAATGAGATACGTAATTATGTCAAAGGAAATCAGCAGATTGTGTTAGACTTCAACCAACAGTATAAAATTCAGTACTTGTCGAGTCGAGTTGAGTTGCCCAAAATCTTGTGGAATTCTTTGCATAGATCCATGAATAGTCTTGTAGTTCCGTATCATAATATAGATCTAATAAAATTGAACGTCCAGTCTTCTACGCCATTTTACGGATTTCTCTATGCTGTCAAACACTATTAAACGACTTTGGATATAGAGAGTCTATGATTTCTCCTAGGTCTCTCAATTCATAATACCTTCTTTTCTACTTATCATACAATTACAATGATATTATATAATGATTCTGTGATATAAAAACGTACAACGAGAAGAGAGAAAATTGTACAATTTATAATATACAAAAAAGTTCAGTCTGTATATATACGAGCCTCGTAACCAAAATGTTAAAGAAAAAAAAACTAACCATAGCTAATTCTGGATCATCTTCAGGATTTATTCCAAATGCAAAAGCACTTGCTGAATAACCATTTGGCAAACCTGAACCGTCTTCACTTTGAATAATTGGTGTATTAATAAGTGTGTCAGGTAAATTAGCTCCAGATGGTACACATATCAAATGAGAACTAAAAATATTCAAACAAATTATGTATTCGTATTTGTTTTTGGTTTTATTTACTTAGTATTCTCTTTTCCATTAATAATTGTAATAAATTCTTCGAATTTCTCACGAGATGACTAAATATAAACAAAAAGTAAGTGAAAAAATTCATATGATCTATTTAATAAAAATCTTACTTCTTCACCAAAGATAACAATATCAATTGATATTTTTTCTTTTTTTAATCTTTTTGCTAATTTAGTAAATTCATTAGGATCAACTTCAAGTGGACTACCAACAAAAACAACAATACGAGGTCGATGATTTTTACCTTGTCGATGTTTTAATGCTAGCTATTTTAACAAAAAAAAACAAAAAAAACAAAAAAAAGACGTCAATATATTAACATTATACTTTTTCGAATAATAGATAGATTGTAGAATTTGATTCAGTACAAAGATTTTTTTAAAATTTAATCGTTTCATATTCTAATTATTAGTCATCAGTAAGACATTTAGAAAAATTCGAATCAACGAATTTTCATCGGAAATTTTCCTTCAAAATAGATGATAGTCATGACTGAAGAATAACTCCTTTTACAAATTTTTCTTTTTCTCTTATGAAATTTGCTCGCTGTTTAAAGAAGAATCATGAGACATAGTCACAATTTCTTAATTTAATTTGCTTTCAGTAACTTAGCACCAGAGAGAAATCGTAATAAAAAGACTCATACACACGAATGGCACATTTTATTTCATTAAGACTTACAAATCTCTATCAATAAAAATATTAACTAGCGAGATAACAAGCGTTGTAAAAGAAATGGAAAAAAAACCGTCGAAGTCAGTTTCACGGAGACAAACATATGATACAACGAATATTTGGTGATCATCTAGTAGCTTGTCTTCTTCTCTTTTGAAAGAGCTATGACACATCTTTGAAGGTCGTTTGTAAAAAAGAAATATTATATGACAAAAAAGAAGCTCTAGTTACACGTATTTGCAATTTCTATTCTGATTCTTAAAATAATTCCGTGAAAACTGCGATAAATTGTTTAACAAGAAAAATATTTCTCAAACAATGATTTATACTATATTAAAGAACTAGTGATGTACGGTTTTTGTGTAAATACAAAAATACTGCCAGTGATGTCGGAGATCAGTAAACTGGAACCACACATTCTTACATGGAACACAGACTCGAGAGAGCATATTGCGCCACTTCACACTCTAACGAAACGCGTTCACAGAGCAAAACATGCAAGAGACATGCGGCACGCCTACGCATGAGCAGTGGCACGAGACAGTGCGAGTTTGTCTCGTCGATCTCTATTATGAAGATATCATGATCATAGAACTACGAAACATCTGTCAAAAAAAGGTGGTCGACATCATATGATTTCTGGCAAGCTATTGAATAGTATCGTTAAACCTGAGAACAATCGGTACGGTCTCAATCAAAGAAAATTAGAACGATAATTTCAGATATGTTATTAAATTATTTCGCGTAATCTAAAAAAAGAACAACAGTCATTATTACAAAACGTCAAAAAGTTCTAAAAGTGGACATCGAAGATCAAATTGATCAAAAAGAAATTGCGGAACAATTTATTGCAAATTATTGAGCGATTGTAACCTGATTCTGGATGATGAAAAGTACTTTAAGTTAAATAGAGACAACGTCGGGAACAATTGATTTTTTTTTTCAACTGACCCAAATACGACTTCTTCAAACAGTAAATTTCAAAAGAAAAACAAATCTGAATCAAAAGTTATGCTTTTGATGGTTATGTGCTCAAAAAGAAATGACTGATGTTATACTTCTATAGGACCAAACAAGCTATCTTTTAAGCCACATATTTTGAAGTGTTCGAACACAAGACTACTTCCTTTTATCGAAAAGTATCATCACAATGAGAATTATCCCTTCTGACTCAAGTTCTCATTACTCAAATATTGTTAAGAAACGTTGGAACGAGAAAAATCTACTACTCGGTCCTTATCAGGATAATCCTCGAAACCAATTGAAATCACTTAGACTCGAAGAATCAAATAGCAGGAAAAAGAATTTGATCAAAAAATATTGCAAGCTATAGTTGGGAATGTTCGAAACAGGCTCTGACCTATGCGGCGAAACGGACTATATTCAATTTATGACATGTATTTTTTGTCAAATACGATCTAAAAGAAGTGTTGAAGTATACAGAGTTGAAATTTTGCATCTTTTCCCTCTTCCAGACTGTGACAGACGCTAGCCAAAGACCATTACAGACTCATGTATCAATGACATCTAATTATAAAATATGCACTACTTGCTGATTGTAGTTCTGGAGGATTGAGTAAAAAGATGGCGAAGTATGTCCCAAAATATATAGCATAAAACAATCTCCCTGTGATTAACAAGAGCAGCTACATTGTGTTTCACATTTTAATCCCACAAGGACTGTGATAACAACTTTTTGTAGTGTGTTTTATGCTCGTTCTAATATAAGAACTATAGCTTTGCAGATTGTAGAATGACTGAGCTGTAAAGTTGGACATTTTTCCATTTTATTTTGTGTAATACATATTATTAAATAATGCATGTTTACAAAAATCTTCTTCATGTTAAGAAAACAACTTACATTAGCTACTTTGATGCCTTTACAAAAATTAAGTTTTCCTTCTATTGGTAATAAATGTAACTTTGAAAAAACCTTGCCAACATCACTTGTCAATTGTGTAACAACACGACCACTAAAATTAAAATAAGAATTTTTACATCACACACAATAGCATAGGAATATTTTAAATATTTTATACTCTGAAAGTGTAAGCAATCCAACATTATTCTCTGGATTTGATCTTGTCTTAGCATGAAATATAAGTGAAACAGCATCTTGTTGTGCTTGCATTCTTGTCGGAATAAAATCTCCATCACGCATAAAATCACTATTATCAATACTAAATATTAAAATTCGAAATCTGTGTTTTTTTTTCTGTAAATAACCAAATTTCTTCCTCACCATATAATTGTACTTTCAAGTGGCATGATTATTTCTAAAGAGAATCTGAAAAAAAAACGAAGCATTGTTTTCTTATCTCTTTTAATCATCACTTATTGTTCAACAGTATATATATATATATATTTTTTATACACTAAAGACAACAGAACAAGAGAAATATAAAAAAAGGAAGAAAGAAAGAAAGGAAGAAAGAAGGAAAAAAATCGTTGAGAGCACGAAAAAAAGAAACACTGTTCTATACATAAACAACGCACCGGGCGTCGTAGCAGCCACAAAAAAAAGACATATTGCATGGACCAGCCATTAAGCACATATATATGGAATGAAAATTATTACAGACACTGATCAGTAGCACCAGATCGAACAATGAGAATCAACAATGAATAAAAAAAAAACGAAATAAACTACTAAGATAATCTTTGTTTAGGTAAGTGATTTTGACTTCCTATGCGTAATGCACGAATCCAATCTTTTCGATCATCTTCAGATGATGCCGACATACGATAAACTGTATGATGACCTAAAATAAATATAAAAACTTTGTTTATATTGTTTAGGCTTAATTAAATATGAAAATTTAACCTTCAACCCATTTTCCAATATCACCTGGTGCTGGTTTACTTGCTTTAATTTTATCTCCGGTTAATGGGAAAAGTTCGAAACAATATTGTTTTGTACGATCATCATCGACTTCTCGAACAGCAACATCAACAAGTGGTATTACACCACGAGGAATATCAACTTCCTATAAAATAAATTTTAGCTTTTTTTGTGTTATCTAATCGAAATTATTTACTGTTCTTGATTCAAAATAGAAAAGACAACCATCAGTTATAATAAACCATCGTCGTTTCCAATTTCGAACACGACCACCTAAAAGTATTTTCATTGATTAATTAATTAATTAATTAAATTTCTTTTACCTTGTTTCCATAACCATCCTTCTTTAATTATTGTTGAGTCACTACCAAATATCGGTATAGTTAAATTAACATCATCATCGGGAAATTTTAATTCATTATTTTTAATATTATCATAAATATTCTAAAATAAATAATTCAAAAATAAAAATAAAAAAAACAAAAATACAATTATTACTTTAATTATATTTTGATCTGGTAATTGATGTCGTGCAATTGTTTCACTTAAACTATTAACAAATTTTTCATAAGTAAATGGACCACCTCCCATACGAGCACTTTTATTATGTAATGATGTGTTTAACATAATTGTAGCAAATGATACAATATAACATACTTCTACTCATGATTAAAAAAAAATAAAAACTTATTAAATATAAAATTTTCTTTTTCTTTTTCTTTAACTTACCAGCAGTAGCATAAATATGTGGATTACATTCATAATAACGTTGAGCAAATGCTTCCATAATTCGATCGATTTTTTGCGCTTCACCCGGTAGAATAAATGTGGATAAATATCGTCTAATAAAATTTCATTAACAGAATTAATTTCAATACAAATAAACAAACCTGAGCGCTTCAACAATATCCATAGAGAAAAAATCATGCATATGAGCAAAATGTTTGAGTACTTCAATATGAAAATTATCTCTATATTATTAATAAAAAGATAAAAAATGAATTTTTTTATTAAAGGAAATTTTATACTTTTCTCCAAGGTAATCACCAATTGCTCGTTTACTCAAGCCAGTTTCATTAAAAAGAAAAGCAGCTGTATGTTCTGATGTATTTTGAATAAGACCATTTTCCATAAGCCAACGAATACCCTATAATCAATGCGTAAAGAAAAACAATAACAGGTGAACCATAATAAATGACATAAAATATTTTCCTTTTTTAATGCCATTTCCCAACACATTACAGACTTTCGTTTTAGCCTTATTCAATAGAGAATTTTCTGCTCTATAAAATTAATGTCGTTTTTTCTCCAAATAACTCCTTTCTTGTCAGTGCAAAACTTAAATGATGAATACCTAATTCATTTGTCGAACTGCAACGGTCAAAAAAAAAAAAAAGAAAAGTCTTCCATAAATGTTTTGCTTAAACTTCTCAATAGAATCTCGTATCTTTAGACATATATGTTTCAAGATTATAGAAGAAATATATGCGAGAAAAATTCTTGAAGTCAAAAAATCATTCTCTAGCAGAATCACATCATTGTTTTTTTTCTAATGTTTCTACTTTTCAATTTAACAATTTATACTTTTTTGTTGAGAATTAAATTCTATACTCTGTGACATGAGAACGAACTTGTCATAGACCAAGTGTCGTTTTGGAAAACATAATTTATTCAGAATGCACTTCAAATTACAACAAGGTATTAGCTCAAAGCTTTTTTTTTTACTGCTGAATAACAGCAGTAGAAACCTTGAAAAGGTCATAGAAGCAGAAAGCATAAAATTCTCTATCGAATGAGTCGAAAATAGTCTCTAATGTGTTGATAAGCGTTCTAGGCAAGAGGACAACATTTTTATGTCATTTATTATGAGTCACTGGTTACATATGGTTTTCTATTTATGAATACTTACTTCTTTTGGATTATCATTAAATCTTTTTTTAGCTATTGACCATTGTTTAGCATTTGAATTACGACGACTATGAAAAAGAAAAAGAAATTTTATTCATATGATAAAATTAAATAATTAATAAAAAAAAAACCTTGACAATTGATTTTTTTTATATGGAACTGGTACTGTTAAATAACATTCATAAGACGTCGGTTTTAATGATTTAACTATAGAGAAATTTTTCGCACCACGCGTGAACATATGTCGATGCATGAATAGATCAAAAGACGAGCGTCTTCCTTCACGAATAACTAAATTATGACGAATTGTATGCTGCATGTTACTCTCAATTGTTCTCTTTCACGCCTTATGCGCGCTCGTTTATCAATGATAATATATCTATTCTTAAGGGATAATAAAACTTGACGTTATTTTTTTGTTATTCTGTATGATTAATGTTAATAATACATAACGAATATTCGAGTAAAAAGAAAAAGGGAAAATAACGCATTAACTATTTTTGTTTCCCTACTATTTATTTATGTCAGTTTATGTAAGTAAGGCAAAAAGTATGTCTAGCTGACATTACAATCATTTTCTTTTTCTTTCTCTCAATCTTACTTATTCTAATCATTAATAAACATAATAAATGAGAAATTAATGAGAAAGAAAAAAGAAAATGATTAATTTTCAAAAATAATGATTGTTCTATTCATTTAATGATATAGTTGGTTTTCAATACATACTCATCGTTGCTATTGGATTGGATCATGGACATTTCAATTTCACATTGAGCAATTTTTTCACGAAGTTCCTAACAAAATTTAGAAATAATATGATGTTATTTATCAAAATATGAAATTGAAACATACTTGAATTTCTTTTTTCAGTTGTTCTTTACGTCGACGAATACAATCTATTGGAATATGAGAATCAACAACGGTTCCGTTCCCTGAAATAAAATAAATAAAACAATTTTTAATACATTATTTTGTTTGCTTACCGAAACCGTTGAGTGTCATTTTATTATTTTCAATTTTCAATACAAATCTAAGAAAAAAAAAATCATGATCAATGAATATTGTTTTGTTCTTATCAATAAACAAATGAAATTTTAGATAATACTGGATGAGAATACACAACTCAATCATCTCTCTTTAATAGATAATACAATATGATTCATGTGATGACTATTATTTTGCGTATCATTTAATTGGAAATTATTACTTACAATATGAGAAAAGATATATCTTAGAAGAAAACTACGAAATAAATGTTACATTAAATAATTAACTTTAAAATTGATGAATATTCAGTTGGAAAAAAATGGTTTTTCTCAAGGAGTTCATCTTTTATAATTAAAATAGATATTCTTATATATTCTATTATCAAATCATTGAAAATAATTTTCTACAATCATATCATGATAATAATTTTTGTTTATATAAAAGTACAAGAATAAATATGCGTGTAAGACCTAGAAGAATGTTTTCTCCAATGAATCATCGTCAACTAAATATCTAAAAACAATCTGACAAAAACGAGAAATAAAACACTTTTTAAGCATTTCATAGACGACTAATAAACTGTCTTAAACATAACTATGAATTTGATCAGTGAAAAAAAAATGATATAAATAACAAAACTAACCAAATATAAGTGTAAAAAATTGAAAATCAAGGACAAGCAATTTTGAAATATAAAGATTAGTCAATTATACTAAATAAAAATCGAATGAGGAAAAAAAGAATTAAATTTCAAGATAAGAAATCAGTTAGAAAGCAATTGTTTGACGGCGTGATCATGACGAGAGAAGCGAAACAAACAAATAACAGTCAACGGGTAAAACGTAGCGAAGATGATTACTTTCATCATGAAGCAGAAAATTATTTTATTGGATAGTTGTTATTCAATAAATTTTTGTTCTTCCAAATGATGACGCTAGATGTCTGTTATATTTAGACTTAAATCACGAGTCATAGCGAATTTTTACTTACGTATATTATAATACGATTCAAAGTTCAGTGATGCAATGCTTCGATAAACACAAACAAACAAGAGATAAATGTCACCTGAGTTCTTTTTATCTTCTTAGGTCAAACTTTGTTTTTCGTCTTTTTATTAAAAGTCACACGTCTTTCTAGGTTCAAATAATCATCAAAGCTTTTACTACAGTGAAGGTGATAGTCAACTACATTAATGTTGGATGTAAAAGGATGATGATATTTTAGGAGTTATTGCACAAGACGAACGGCTTATCCTAATTAATTGATATCATGGATTTCAATGAAACTTTGCTAGTATATATACTCAAGTGAGATGTGATAACATAAAAAATTTCAGCTTCTAAAACATTCTCTGATTGAGTTATTCAATCTACAACAGAGGCACTCTAACATGAAAGAATGAGGATGACTATTGCACTACCCATGTATTGTGCATTTAAGTATACAATGCATGGATTCAGCAATGATATATTTTCATTTTTACTTTAGGGTAACTCAACAAGGGAACGATTTTGAAAGCTAAAATTTTTAATATCTTCCTTGGATTATATACAGACAAAGTTTCATTGAAATCTGTAATATCGATTGGGCATATGATTTGCTATTGGGTTATGTGTATCGTTCAATAACTCTTGAATGTCTAACTCTGAAAATCGAAAAAGACGAATGCATGATTGAATGTCGTTTCTTCCGAAACCGCAGTCTTTATGTATAGAGTTGGACGTGATGAAAACTGCCAAAATGATTAACATGATTGAAAAAATGCAGCAAACACGATGAGTGAGTAATGAGACACTCAGGTAATAGGTAGAACAGAGAAAGGAAGAGACCATATATAATGACGCAGAAGAGAGAAAAGGAATAGTCCATGTCACATGAAAAAGTTAGCAAAGATAAGTAAAATTAAAAAACAGCATGGGCTGTGAGAAAGGGATAGAGTGGGATGAAAACATTACACGATTGATTTTGGTTACCCTGCGATCTAGATGTGAAAAACTATTCGAATGTATGTTTATCTTATCAATTGATTGGTATAATTATAACAAAATATACTTAAATAAAAGAAAAAACAACAAGAATCGAGATTATTAGTATACGGCGATGATAGTCTGACTTTTTTCAAAGATATATGGATGTGTTATAATATATTTAGAATTTACTACAGATCTATTCTACGAAATTTATGTTGTTGTACTCTCTGACATTTTCATCTCGTATTTCTAAATAATTTGATACGAGTGTAACTAAACCATTTCTTTCAGTGCTCGATGTATTGTATTAAATGTTTTCATTAACAAAAACTGTTTTCAATTATTTACTTATAGAAATCTAGCCTACTCACAATAAGAGAATTTTCATGTTAAGATTTTTTTTTTTTGTACTGTCATATATTACTATGATTGCTTTGTTTTTAGAATAATGAGAACAAAAGATTTCTCATCATAGTAAAAGCATTACAAAGAGAGCTTTATATAGAAGATAATCCAATGAGAAAAAATCTACATAGTTAAAATACCAGATTGAATACGTCATTAATGATAGATAGTTTCCTTGTCTATTATTTAAAGGATTTTTCTAAAGAGAGATAAAATAGATAAATTTGTACATGATTGTATCCAAGTAAGATGCTGCTCTAAATGTTATATAAAGGATATTATACTGAAAAAGCAACAAAAATTAAATTTACAAATACAAAATAATCAAGTATGCAGTTAATTAACAATATAATCAGTAACAAAAAAGAGACAGAAAAAAAGAATACTCAATTGAATTTGTACAATGACCAATGGATAAATAAATGAAATCATTTTTATGAAAGGAAAATGAATTTACTAGATTTGTTTTACTCTGCTTTTATTTAACGTAATTATCAAATAGATAAAACAATAATACAGGATATATCATTGACAATCGATTTATAAAACTTAAAATAATATTGAATTAAGAATATGTGATTAAGTTTTTTTTTTCTGAATAGTAATGTATAATTTCCATAGCTTCCTGAGAGTGGAAATAAAAACTAAGTTAAATAATGAAAAATGATCATTTTTTGAAACGAATAAAACTGTATTGCCGCATGTTTGTTGTGTTTAAAAAAAAAGACTTTTTTTTTAATTAATTACTGAATTTAATTGATCAACAACACAAAAAAAATGAAAGGGCAATTTTGTATAATAATTACCTATACCGATTAAAACGTGAAAATCAGAACGGTTCTTTCATGCATGTTTGTATATTTAACTCACATACTCATATTATTACTTTAAATAACGACGCAATTTTAGCATGCAATGAGTGTTTCTCTTATCTTCCTCCAGCATGTACACCCTCAAGATCAAGATTTTAATTTGTATCAAAGAGTTTTAAGAAATGCTATATATATATATATATCGGCTTGTCCACGTAATTGTCTTCTTCGCTGATCAAGTTTTGAAAAATCAAAAAAAAACTTTTTTCGAGTTCAGCAGATTGTCATATGTTACCAGACGCAGATTTTAGTGCTGATTCCGAATTCGATATTTATTTTATAAGGACATTAAATCTTGGCGTCGAAAAGTGAGTTTTATAATTTTCCAAAATCGTATTTTGAATTTTTTTCGCTACAAAAGTTGTTCAGATAGAATCGATAATCACACCATTCGGTGCAGAATTTAATTCTCTACAAAATGGTCTATTTGGTTTTGTCATTCGTAGATACTGGGGAGTCACAGAATCCGAAACATTTCCTGATTTAGTGTGTGGTTTATGAACTAAAGGTTCTATAGATCCACCTGATTCTTGCGTGAAAAGATGATTAAGATACGAAAGATTAAGATATCTAAAAGTGAAGTCATTCTGAACAAGTGAAGCACCTTGAACATTGAAGAAAGACTTAATGTGTCATAACAACGAAAATCGTGTCACAGCGTTACGAAAAATGTCACAGCGTTACGTTGGTTTTTTTACTTTTTTTTACGAATAATAATATCTAGAGGAAAATTTTTTTTTACCATTTGATAGTTCGTTTTATGCTCTACAAAGTTGGTTTCAGGCCTGTTTTAATTGGAGACAATCATTCGCAGAGAATTGAAAGATGAGTCAGAGCGTTGGAAACTCAGGGTCCTTTTATGTCACAGTGTTACGTGACTATAAACCATTTCTGGAAACTAGAGAGTTTTACCTAATAAAGTCAAATTTATAGTGTAAATACAATTCGTCGAGCTGCGTCGAATGGCGTTTGGACGAGTTTTCTAGCTACTATAGTTTTCGAGATATTTCAAAAAAAGTTTCAAAAACGTCACGGCGTTACGCTTGGACAAGCCGATATATATATCGATGCTCTAAAAGATGCTAAAGATACTAGTGACGAAGTAAATTTTATTTTCCTTCTTAATAATGTAGTAATGATGTGAATGAGAAGGAATAAATTGATTTTTATGATTTCTTTGGTTCCTATTGATTTCTATCACTTGAAATCAGATTTTATCTGTTCATCGTGAATCAATATGGATCATCGGAAATGCTTAGAAATGAAAGAAAATCATGAGAAATCGTTCAAAGTCAAGAGCAACCACTCGGAATATTAGCAATTGTTGAAAATCAAGAAAATCAATAGAAATCAGAAGTTTACTATAAATGTTACTAATGGAGATTTTCTATGATTTCAAATGGCTTCTAATGTCTTGTGATAATTTTCAATAGTTTTTAACGACTTTCAATTATTATTCGTGTTCTTAACGCGTTCTCGTGATTTCTTGCATGGAAATCAGTTTGTCTCCCTTAGGTATGAATAAATAAATAAATAATACAATATTGTTTGATTGTTCATTAACTGAAAAGTGAAAAAATTTTGGAAATACAATAAAACGAGACATTCTGATTTTACTCATTTGTTTAAGAGCAGTCATATTGGGTATAGATATTTGGATTTTATCTTGTCCTGCATCTATATACTCACTGGTTTGTTTTTTGTTGATATAGAATGAAACTTTATTTGTGTTGATTGACTGATTTATCAAAAACTTTTATTAATATTACATTTGTTCTTTTTCAAAGAAAGAAATTTGAGTGAATTTAAATTGCTCATCTTTTTATGCATTCAACTAGAAAAAACCATGTTGAAGTTTCTGTTTACATTATTCCTTTCGGCCACAGTTGAAATTAATTAATTTGTAGAAGATGTTCATAGACGAAAGAAAACTGTGTTCATAGAAATTCTGTCCAATATTGAATCGCTTTGCAAATATTGTATTATTAATTCTTAATTTTGAATAATATTTATTTATTTTTTTATGAACAAAAACAATATTATTTCCTACGAAAATATCATCTGGATATGATATTGCACAAGACACCAACAAAAATAAAAAATAAATAACAATAAACAGATGACAATAATTATAAAAAAAAGTGTCTAACTTTATATTTTTTTCCATTGGAATAAAATAAATAAGGTACAAAAACTAAATATTAAAAACAATATTTTTATATTATCATCAATAGAATCAAGTATACGATTTTCATTTTGTATTGTTAATACATAAAATCTTTTATTTATCTTCATAGTTGTCATTTCAGTAGAAAAAATTACATCAGATGAACCAACTGTACTAATAGGAGTAGTAACGAAAGAAAAAGATAATGATGATTCTTCAGTGTAATTTTCTAAATACAAACAGTCAAAATGATAAAAACTAACAAGAAAATTATTATTCACAAGACTTACGAAATTCTTGTTGTTCATTGAATTCTCGTTTTATTTCCAATGTTAACTCTTTTATTAAATAATTCGTCTGCTTTCTAAGTTCAACTACAGTGGAAGAATTTGATAGTAATCGAAAAATAGTTTTTTTATTTTCTTCCAATGCTTGTTCTAGTTTTAAATGATGTTTACTTTTTGTTATTATCAATTTTTCTACTGGAACTAAAATAAATAAACAAAAGGTATTATTTTATTATGATTTTTTTTTCTTACACATACGTTCAGGTAACTTATAAGCATGATCAGCAAGTTTCTTTATTAATGATATTACTTCTTTAGAAGCATTTTGTTTTTCACATTGTTCAGCAAGATTACAAAAATTTTGACGTAATGAAACACGAATAACTGATGAGAGTTGACTTTTATATTTCTCGAATTTTATAAGTAAATTTGTTAAATATTGTTCAATATTTCTCATACTTTGATTATTATGACATAAGACTTCTAAATCAATCAATTGAATGGTATTATTATTTTTTAAACTTTCATTAACCAACCTAAATGTAAATTTAATAAATAAAAATTAATAGAAAAACACTCTATTGATTTTATTGTTTCTTTTTTATTGAGATTCTTTCGAAAATCGATCTTGTGCAAAGTACATTCAAATTGCATGAAATTTTTCGGATATATTAGGGTTTTATTGGAGAGACTATGGTAAAATTTTCAGCTCTATATCATGAGGTTTTCAGGAGATATTCAACAGACTAGAATAGAAAATAACTCATTTGGAAATTCATAATTCTTTAGCGGTTTCCATTCTATATTATGAATTATTTTTATATTTTCAAAACCATGTCAAGATACAAGGCATGACAAAGCTTTTTTTTATTTTTACTTTTTTAAGTGGTGAAAAGTTCAGCTAGTGTCTCTAAAAACTCTCAAGAAATGGCGTTTTAATTATAAAAGTACTTTTTTATATAATAGTAACAAAGCTTAGTTTAAAAAATGAACTCTATCATGCCGCACATCTTGGCATGTTCTACCAAATAAAAAAATGCAATTTGTTACAATGAAGAACCTTCGAAAGCTCTGAGATACACAATTAAAAAAAGCATAAAGAGAGAAAAAATGAAAAAGATTTTTTTCAACTAGATGATGATAGAAATTATCAAAAAGTTTCGAAACAAAATAAGGTACCAAATAAAAAATCATGTCGTTTATGAAAGTTTAGATTTCGAACTATATTCTCATGCGTTTATCTTAGTTTTGGCAGTTCTGATGAGAAGTAACTTTATTTGAGGGGGAAACCTTAACATTGTTAATTAACATAAGAATACGAACATTTTACGCCATAATTTTCGTTTTGCAAGATCTTTAAATGGATGCCATAAATTATTTGGTTGTTTGAATATTTGTTCTAAAGAATAAAATGTTTGATAGACAATAGTACTTAATTCAGTTGGTGTAACTACAGTCATGTTTAAATGCATAGCTAATGTATTGAAGAAAAATTCATGAAATGGTACTTCGCCTAACCAATGAACATAATCAGCAATAGCTATTAACATTCGTCGACTTAATCCAACTACATTAACCATTGAACAAGACCAAGGTAGAATAAGTTTTCCAACTTCCATTGACCATAGCCAAGTTGATGTATTACCTAATAAATTAATTTCATTACGTGGAACAATAAGATCACTAGTATTCGAATAAAGTTGATGTAATGAACGAAATGCTTGGACACTCGGAATAAAAACATCATTTTCAATTAACCAAACAAATGTATAATTGTTATTGAGTAAAGTAAAATAGAGAAGAGTTTTGTCCCATGATGTAATTTCTCGCCATGTACTTGTTAAACTAATTGTTTTTTGATAACCATAATGAACACATTCTTGATTTGAAATTTGGATTAATCGAACATTAGACAAAATATTTATGGTAGATATATTAAAATTATTATCATCAATCATAATAAATACATCAAGATCATATTCTATTGCATCTTGAGCCAATTCTTGAGCAAATTCAATTGTTTCAAAACTTGGTCTCTCTGTTAAAAAACACAGAGCAGAATTTCCTGCTTGGACATTCGTATGCTGGTATAATAGTAATAATAGAATTAATAATAAATAGAAGGTCATAGTTCTAAGAGTGAATTACTTCTATCGCTATTTTTTAGTTTCATTCAAAATTGTCACTGATAAATGAAATCATATGTGACAAAGCAAAATGCTAAAAAAGTACCGAGTTGTAACGAAATATGTACAATTTTATGATTTATTTAAAATCATTTTTAATTCTATCTCAAGCAATCGATATCATCAAAAGAATAGCTAATAAAAGAAGTTACACAGATTGATATAAAAGAGAGAAGAAAAAATTTTCTTCTCAGTTTTGCCTATCAGTATTTGTAACTTCTTTTTGTTAGCTATTCTCTCGATGATATCGATTGCTCGAGATAGAATCAGAAGTGTTTTGAATAAAATCTGAAAATATATATTTTGTTATTTATTTCCCATTGCTTCACAAATTGATTCTATAGACTAATGGTTTTTTCCTTTGATGTGCATATAATGGTGTCAGCTGGACTTTAATAGCGAAAAGGTACCAACTTTGATCAATATGTTCTTTGTATTTTACTTGTTTCTGATTCAATGTGAACTTTCGTTTAATATGAAGTACGGTGTTTGCTCTTTAAATTAATAAGCTATCAATTTAGAGTAAATAAGCTTATTTACACAGTAGCATAATACTGAGTTAGATTTATTTATTTCATAATGGAACATATCCAACTGTTTGATGCTGTACAACTCTGTATTTTGTTTATGATTAGAACTCAATGAAGGTACGAAAACTCTCAATGGATTTGAGTTCATGCGTTACTCAACCAGAATTATGATCATTTTAGTAGATTTTCAACCTCTTGGCCAATTATTCATGAAAACTAAATTAGGAGATTTTCATCCGAAATTTCGGTCATGGACAGAAAAACGAATGTATTTTTCTTAACACATTGAGTGTCTAAAACAATTCGATTTGATAACTTGTCTTACGATATATGCGTGTTATCTCAAGAAGAATACATCCATATGAGCTCAAAATGTTTAGGACATTCCATTGTCAGTGAGAGCTGTCTATGGGCAAAACTACAGATAGAAATCTTGTGATTGATTTTTTCATGAATAGTTACCCCAAAGATCAAAAGCCGGCTAAAACAATCTTAACTCAGACTGAGTAATACATAAGCTCGAACTTGTTTAAAATTTTCTAAATTTCACTGAGTCTTATTCATAGTCAAAATATAAAATATCCTGTCCAGATTTCCATCTTTTTCCTGAGAAAGCCACTTTATTATGAAAAAGGGCTGCAGGCCAATGGTATTCATAATTCTCACAAAATCACCATGAAATTTCAAGTAGGATCTTGGCAACACACGCGAGTATCATGACAAAATTGTGTATCAATCTGACTTTGAAATCCTTGAGAAAATCCGATGCATGATTCAATCATGATCCTAAACACTTTATAGCTATTCGAGACTTGAGAATATTCGAGCTCAGCTATAGTGATTGTGAATAATTGTTTATCTTATATTAGCCACAGGTTATCACTCTAACAAAAATCCTCATTTAGATCATCCTGTCCTAGATAAAACAGTGGAGTGCATCATTGTATGAAAGTCTTAGCTAGCATCTGACTATGTATTTAGACAATGACGGAAAATGTCTAGCCAGGTACCCGACGAAACCGAGTTTTAGCAATCTGCCTAACTAAAAACTGCCTAAGTAGTAGCAATAGTTATTAGGAATTCCGGCAGTATTGTGAAAACCTTGAGAAGATCCTTTCGGCCCTCGATTTTAAAAGGACCTTCAAGGATTTTTTTATCGAATGAAGAGGGCTAAGACTAGAGTTGCTAAACCCCTCGACATATTAGAAGACCTCCTTGGACAAACGCAACAAAAGACAGCTTAGAAGACTCCCCCCCCCCCCCCCTGGAAATTGATTTTGTTAATAATTTCTACAACTTTTTAATTTTTTTCGCCTTTATTTTTCTTTTAGTATTTGTGTTTTTTTCATTCGGACAATATTTTTCCCA